AAGACAGAGGGAACAGGCAGGACCAGGAGGAGGAAGGACCCACAGCCCCAGGTGCTTAGACTACATGGAGAGGCCCACTTCACACCCAGGACTTCACAGATCTGGACAGGGGAGTCCCTAACAGACACAGGCTAGGCATGAGTCCAGGGGACAGGAGAGGATAAAACTAGGGTTTTATCTAACTGTCCTGGTGTGCCAGGGACTGAGGATAGTTCTCAGGACATACAACCTCCAGTTTTAAAACTAGGAAAGTCCTGGGCAAACTGGGATAAGTTTGCTACCTTTGAAGAAATACTACCTTCAATTTAAGGCTAGTTGCATTTTTGCCAAGCAGCAAACAGCATGGCCCCCCTAACTGCTACTCAACCAACACCTAAAGCTGGGGTTCTCTGCCCAGTTCTAGGCCTCGCACATTCCACCAAAGACAAAATCTCTAACAGGAACTACACTCCCCTCAACAAATAAACCGGTCCCCACCTTCAGCCTCTTATCTTCCAAGACCTCCTCTTCCCCATCTCATAGAGTGTCCTTATCTGTGCCCACAGATCACCTCTCCCCAGCTCCCATCCTCTGAGCGCTGGAGTGACTACTAGCAATTTCTCCAACTTTGCAAAGACCTTTCCCTTCTTCAGATCACAAGACCGGAGATCCTTTCCCTTTCTCCTCAATTCACCCTCAGGGCATAGTGACTGACCATCTGTAGAATTTTATGTGTGTGCTCTCCCTAGAAGCCAGTGCTCTGTTCTGCAGATGCCTTCACACACTGGTTGCGAGCTGGCTAATTCTTGCCACTGAACATCAACTCCAAATTCACCTTTTAAAGCCTAACCCCAAAGTGATGGTACCAGAAGTAGGAGGGATTTGGGAAGTGATTAGGTCATGAGGGTGGAGCTTGCAAGAATGGGATTAGTGCTCTTATAAAAGGGACCCCACAGAGTATCCTCACTCCTACCCTGTGAGGACAGAGTTATAAGGCACCATCTACAAGTCAGACATCGAATCTGCCAGCACCTATTATTCTTGGACTTTTCCGCCTTCAGAACTGTGAGCAATAAATGTCTGCCATGTACAAGCCACCCACTTATGGTATTTTGTTACAGCAGCCCAAACAAACTAAGACACTCTTGGGACACAAAGTCCTACTGGGAGAGCAACAGTGTGGTAAGCAGGCTGATCTGCTGATGCATTTTTGTTTGTTTGTCTTTGAGACAGAGTTTCATTCTGTCACCCAGGCTGGAGTGCAGTGGTGCAATCTCAGCTCACTGCAACCTCCACCTCCCGGGTTCAGGCGATTATCCTGCCTCAGCCTCCCGAGTAGCTGGGATTACAGGCTCGTGCCACCACACCCAGCTAATTTTTGTATTTTCAGTAGAGACGGGGTCTCGCTATGTTGGTCAGGCTGGTCTCTAACTCCTGACCTCAAGCAATCTACCCACCTTGGCCTATGAAAGTGCTGGGGTTACAGGCGTGCGCCACCGCGCCCAGCTGATGCATTTTTGAATAGCAGCTCTGATAGAAATAGTCTCATTTCTATAGCCACACAGATGTGCCTGGATACTGCAGAGGGCCTTGGTCTCCTGAAACCTTAGTTACCCACCGAGGACTAACATTTCTAAAACAGCTGCAGTTTAAAAGTATAAGGGGAAGAAAGAAGGAACAAAGAAAGGCTGGAGTGCAACAGTTCTTAGAACAGCAATCCTCAAACTTGAGCATGCATCAGAGTTCCCTGGAGGGCCTGCTCTAGAACACAGACTGCAGGGCCCCAGCTCCAGAGTAACTGCTTCTATAGTTCTGTAGTGGGCCTAGAACTTGCATTTCTAACCAGTTCCCAAGTAAAGCAAATGCTGCTGGTCCAGGGACCACACTTTTGAGAACCACTGTGCTGAAGTACAGGACCCATACATAGTGAACAGGAAGCCTGGTGACATGTCTAAAACATACACCCGGATGGATTTATCTTGGAAATCTTTTCAAAAACGTCGCAATGGCTTCAAAGTTTAAAAAGCCATCTATTAACTGTGATTTGAGTAGGATGCCATTTGTGGAATGCTCTTTTAGGAATCCTTTCTGGCCTCCCTTCCTAGGTAGACGTGGGTCCTGTCTGCCTGTGCTGTCCCTTAAAGAATCATGTAAACAGACACCCTTCCAGCCCGCTTGACAGTGCAGGGGCCCTTTCTCTTCACCAGGCTGTGGTCTGCCTGAGGGGCTTAGTTAGAGGGCTCCAAAGGTTGTCACTGAGTCAGGAACACAGTAAGTTGGCCATCCCCATCGAGTAAGTAAATGCAAACACTCGAAACACACAAACGCTCTCAGTGTAGCCGAGGTGAAGGCATCTTTCTTCACATAACTATGTTCAATTTAATTTGCACTCCTATAGGCTTACTCCTGGCAGCCATTCAAGCTGACTAGCACAGAACAAACCGAGGCTTTCACGCAGCTGCTCGGCCAGTTTCCACCTGTCTTCAACGGGAGAGGCCAAGGCACACAGGGGCCCCCAGTGTGTCTGGGTGCCTTGCACTTGCCGGGGCTTTCTTTATTTCTTGAACTCCCACCTTGCTCTCCAGACCTGCAAGTTTTCTAACTTTATTCCTAAGTGGCCCCTCTCCTGGTCAATGTGTCAAAGAATGAGACAGTCTCTCTTTGTTGTGGAAATTTTCCATTTCATCCCTTACTTATGAAACTGTCTTTTGACCCACGTTTCTAGAGCACACAAGTTTTGCAGCCCCCAGTTTATTTAGTTTTGGGATACTGGAAGCTCAGTTTTCAGTAAGGTGGGCAATTTTGACTAAACGCAGCTGTCAAGCCCTCAAATGAGAAGAAACATTAGCCAGCTGGCATGACAGGAGAGCAGCTATCAGTTCTATCGGCCAGGTTTTAGTTACCAGCCTTGACGCCAAAAAGAAATGGGTTTCTTGGAAACAAAAGTGATGGAATTTGGGCTGTGACTTATATAACCTACCAGTGTTCCTCAGCCTATGCCGGGATACTTTAAAATAAAAGTTTTTAGGATGGAGAAATAAATCGAGAAACAACAAAACCACCACCACTCAGGCCGTGCAGCCTGCTACCTCTGGGAACTTCTGCCAGGGCTTCCTTTCCTCCCTAGCCCCAAAAGTTAACAAGTGCTGCAGCTTTAAGAGCAGGAAGGTGTTGTTTTAAGGGCCTCTAAGCCCCCCTTCTCAATTTCAGCTTTGAGCTGAGATCACATCCCCCACGGCAGCCAAGGGACAAAAGCCATTTATCAACCCATCTGATAAAACTTCCAATGGGCTGGATCTTTATCTAGACCAAACCAAGAACACAAATTGCAAACTCCTGCTTTTCCAAAACGTTGACTTCTTTTTAAATACGGTGATTTTTATTTTTATTTTGAATTCTTGGGAGGAAACCAAATTGGCCTGTTCTGCCAGACTCTTAAGTAGGTGGAGAAACTGCCCTTTAAATACACTGGGGGTGGGGAGAGGGCACCCTGCTGTTCGATCCCCTGTGGAGGTTTTGATATTCCAAGCTGAGTACTTTTTGGGGATACCAAGATCCCTCCCCCCACTTCTTGTCCTTGGCCAGGCCTCCCAATGGAACCCAGGTCTGGAGAGCAGGTTGCGGCTCTCTGGGACCTTCCTGGGGTGCGCAGTGGTAGAGTAAGCCGGACGCACAAGTCTGAGCTGGCGCTGGGGCCCAGAAGCAGGGCTGGGACTAGGGGGTAAACTGACCCCTCGCTCCCTACTGTTCACTGTCTGCGTGATCCGCCCACAGGGAGCCCCAACTCGCAGCCAGGCCGAGCCAGACCTGCCCAGTTTTGCCAGTTCCTTGAAACCCAGTTGGCTGAAAAGCAAATCAAAATAACCCAATCCGAGTCTAAACTCAAGTCCTTTCTTGCAAAGCTTCAGTGGTGCGCGGGGGCTGCGACTCCACGCCCGGCTGTGGCGCAAAACAAGCTGAAATTTTTTCAGAAAGACACCTCTGAACCCCGAAAACACAATGGAAACGGCTAGGAGATCCCGCCTTGCGCCGGGGAGGCCATTTGGCCCGTGACATTGTGTTTATTTGTATTTTTAGCAAGAAAAAAGAAATGGGTATAAAGGGCTTAACTGGCGTTTTCTGGCTGTGAGCAGCATATGGCAAAAATGAAATAAAGTTTTATGAAACATCATAAAGAAAACAGGCCGGGGATTTAAGTTGCGTGCCTCCCCCCTCCCCCCGAAAGGAAAAAAAAAGTAAAGAAACTGGAGCGTTTGGGAAGGAACAAATGCTTCTCTGTGGAGTTGGTCTCCCTTCCCCCAACAAAAACAAGAGGTCCGGGCTCCGAGGAATTTGAAAGCAGCGATCTGCCAAAAACATTGTGAAAAACTATGGGGGATTCATTGGAAACAGATGGGCTTTTTCAGCTTTAATTCTGAAATTCTCTCCCTTTCTGACACAATAAAAACAAACAGGGGGCGACGCAGAAAGTTATCAAACAGGAACACCAGCTCATTTGAGCCGGGTCCGTGGGTGTCCCCGCGTGGCCAAATGCGTGGAAACGGGACGAGGTCTCCGGGGAGGGGGCTGTCGGGAACTTGGCTGGGACCTCAGGGGCGCCCCTGGCTCCACCCCTGGGCACCCGGCAGGTTTGCAAACTGCTGGGCGAGGAGCTGAAGAGTGTCCCCAGCACCGAGGGCGTGCCTCCCCTTCTCCCTTTCTTCCCGACCCCCTAGGAGGCACGTTACCAGCACCCCTTTTCTCGGAAAAAGGGAAGGGAGTGAGGCACCCCCGGCCTCTGCGCCCTCCCCACCCGGTTCCTTCTCACTGCAACTCGGGCGGGGTGCCCCTCTCCGGGTTCCCCAAGGGCAGGCATCGCACCCACGACGGGGTGCAGGAGAAACAAAGACCCGTGGAAATGGGAGGCGGGGTCCGGAGGACGTCTAGAGAACCTGAGCCCAGACTCACTCGCGCAAATCTGGCCCCGCATTGGTGGGCGGCCCAGGGACCCGGCCCCGCGCGCCCGGCCGGCAGTGCCTTACCTGCGGGGAAGCTGCAGAGAAGGAAGGCGAGGGTCGGCCAGAATCCCAGGGCTGAACGTCCTGCCCCTCTCCCCATACCCATCCATCCAGCTCGGCCTGTTACCACTAGCCTCTCCCTGGAAGAAGAGTTCAGAAAAAAAGGAGAAGAAAATAAATCACGCTGCGGAGAAAGGGCAGCCTCGCTCCGCCGGCGGGAGCAGCGAGCCGGGAGGCTCGGTCCACCTCGGCCGCGGGCGCCCGGCGCGCTCCCCTTCCCGCGCCCGCCCCCCGCGCGCCCCTCCCTAGCCATCCATCACTCGGTTCCCCGCCAATGTCGACGCGGCCCCGCGCCCCAGCCGCCTGCGCCCCGCCCCCTCGCGCTCGGGTTTCAGAGAGGCCGGCGAGGTAGCGGGAGGCTGCCGGGTGGGGACTCAGGCTGCCCGGCTGCGGCGCAAGCCCTGAGGACCTCGGAAAACCACGGCCCTAGATCAGAGGCAGCGCCACGCTCTCCGACCCTCGCGCCATCTCCAGCCCGCGGCTGTCCTTGCAAAACACGCCCTGCACTCTTGGGAGGCCCAAGCCCCACAGGGCATAAGGGAGGCAGGGCGCCTCCTTATTCCCCTCCACAAATATCCAATCCAAGTAGAAAACCGTGCTTGGAGAGAAATCTCAGCCCTACTTTCCAACCAGACTGCCGACCCCAAGCTGCCACCGACGCCCCCTGGCTCATCTGTCGCACTCAGACGCGACACCGGTGTAGGAGGCTGAAAAATCCACTTCCGAGTTGTCTAGGTCTGGGCAGGTTGGCTCTCTGCATCTCAGCTACTAACGCACCTCGAGGTTCCCGCCCGTCGTGGCCCCGGGCCACCCATCCTGACTGGGCTTGGGCTGCCTCCAGCACCCCCTTCAAGCACCTCGCTGCTTCCTGAGGACTTGCCCCGGCTGCGCCCCCGAGCTGAGGGCCTGCGGGCCTAACCTTGCCACCCTGACACAGCTGCTACTCCAGAGATGTGGCCATGTCCGTCCCCGTCGCGCGCAGGGCCGGACGGTTTGGCGCTCTCTGTGAGGCCCGCAAGGCTGCACTTGGGAGGGCTTCAGGATGGTGACCTTTCCTAACTCTGTCGCTTATTTTTCTGGGAAAAAAACATCTCCTTCCCAAGGTTCCCTGGGCCCTGCAGTTCTGCTGCCGTTGTGATATTTAAGGGACTGGTAACTTCCCCTGAGAGACATCTTTTGGATGAAACACAAATAGTCCTGAGCAAGCGTTTTTATTCAAACCAATTCCTCCCACCACCCTCCTCACCTCACTCCTAAGCCTGCCCATCTGGTTCTTCGGGGAGAAAACACCTCTGGGTTTTTATCCAATTTAGATGTTTCTCTTAAGCACTATCACAGTCCTCACTTGCTGCAAAGGCCACACAGGCTGCAAGGCTGCAGGGCTGCAGCTGCATTTGGGGTTCTGGCTGCCAGGTCGGGGGTGTGGAGAGGAGCAAGCTTTGAAGGAAGGGCAGAAGGCCCTATGTCTGTGAAGACACAACCCCAGCAGCAAGACTTATGAATCTGGCTTCCACAAAACAGGTACACAAGGGGACCATGCCTCAGCCAGCTGTGCAACAGCGCAACACGAAGCTGCTCTTTCCCAAGGTGGAAACGCCAGACACTACTCTTCTTTACAGTGGGGGTACCACTGTGTTTCCCTAAAATATTTAGGTCTAAGATCGACAGGCTCTAATTGTTTTTTCCCCCAAACCAGGGTTCATTTTAGGCATGACTCTGCAAAATGCTACGGTTTTCCCAGTGAAAGCCCACCATCGAAAATGGTCTTCCCTTCAAGCTTGGCCAGTCCTGGGGCCCCACCCAACAAGTTATTCTGCAGCATCATGGAACGGCAGCCCATTCCAGCGGCCACCAGGGCATGCTAAGCAGACACTGTGCCAGGCTGCACAGAGGCGACCATGTGGCCTTTTCACCTCTGAGGTCCACTAATTAACACCATTTGCTAGAGTCTGCCTTTCACCAGCTAGTTCTAGAGTCTCTCACTAATGAGAAGGGATCACTGGCATTCCAAGTCACCTGGATAGTAATTAACCACCGTCACTGCTGCAGCATGTCCAGGTCAGAGACCAGGGCTCAGGATCCAGGGGAGGCCATGCAGCCCACAGAAGCCCAGAGATCATGCCCTTCTGGGGCTGCCCTTGCCCAAGAGTGGACTTTTCACAGCAGGCCTTTTTTTTTTCCCCCAATGAGAACAGAAAAAAGAAATCTTCAACTATGTTACAAAAGCAGGAAAAAAAAGGAGTTTCTCCCACATCAGGAAATGTCATCCAATATTCTTAAAGCAAGGATAACTAAATAAAATACTTGTGCAGCATATTCTGCAATTCCATTATATACAGTTTTTTTTTCAAAGCTTTTTTTTTTTTTTTTAGTATCGTTAATATAAAGCAGTTGCACAAAAAGCAAAGGTGTTTTGACAAACAGGTGTATCCATTTATTCCTTTTTAGGAACAATATCTAAAAAAAGAACCGCTCTCTGCCCTCCCCTCAAAAAGACAAGATTCATCCAGACACATCAGGATATATGTACAACATAATAAACCCCATCCTAAAGAAGCAACTGAGATAACCCCCAGGGGATACAGAATCAGAACTGTAAAAATCATAGTGAAGTTTGCTTGCTGTAAAGCCTGAGAATTTTTTTTTTTTTTTTTTCAGTTGGTTCTTCTCGCAGCAAGACTTTAAACCTCTACATTTCAGTTTCTTCATCTGTAAGGATCAGGCTGATAATATTGTCACTCCAAGAATACCACTGAATAGAACTTGGAAGAAGCCCCAGGTCATGGGAGTTCCAGTCCCCTGGAACCCTGCTAGGGGACGGGGATTGGCTGCCATTTTAGGAGGAGACCCCAGTCTTACGGCATGAGCAAGTAATTTGGGAAAGGGATGCAAAGGGCTTTTTTTTTTTTTTTTTTTTCCTCCCCTCTCTTGAGGAGAAATGTCTGAGGCTGAATTTGGACATCTTCAAAGTGGGGACTTGGCCATCACACAGTTTAGACTATCATGAGAAATCTAGCCCCAACTAGAGCAGTACGGGGTTGTGCTGACCTTGAGGAATCTATCTATACTGGCTAAACCAATCAACTTTTAAACAACTCCCCAACTCTCTGCAGGAATAAAAAATTCCTAAGACGTTAGATTTGAGAACTCAGCACTCTGTTTGCCATAGAAACTCATTTAACTCAAAAGTGTAGTTGACTTCAAACACACAGCCCCACAGAGTCTAACCAAGTATGTGGTGTCCCCTAGGCTATAGCTTAGACCTGGGGATAGAGACACTCTCACGCATGGCTCTTGCTCGCTTTCTTCACCCCAGACTGTGGAGGCCCCAATCCTGAGCATCCCCCTCCACCTTCTCTCCCTCTCCACGTGGGGGGTAGCTATTTGATGCGCGGGAAGGGGTCAAGGGGCTTCTGAAAGGAAGGGTTCTGCATCCGGCTGAAGCCCTCTCAGGGGCAGTGACAGTCAGGGGCTCCACCTTTGCCTGCTTCTGGGTATGAACAGAGCGTTCTCAAATCTAGGGCCTGAGTCATCAGTCAACAAATACATATTCAGGACCTGAGGCAGGCTAGACCTTGGGGGATAAATAAGACAGTCCCTATTTTTGAATTGCTGGTAGAAACAGATAATAGAGAAAAATGAGTGCTAAAGGAGAGGTGAGGAGTGAATGACCTTTACCAAAAAAGGTGGTGTCTTTCAAAATAATGGCTAACATTTTGACGTATTTTTACATTGTGTCAGGTACCAGCTAAGTACTTTACATTTCTAGAAACTTTCAGCTAAGGAAGGTTCTATTATCATCCTCATTTTGCAGATGAAGAAACTGAGGCTGGGAATGCTTAAGCATTCACCCAATAAATGGCTAATAAATGCCAAGCCAAGCATGCTGAACTCCATGCTTGGCGTGCTGTGTGTGCCATTCATTCCAATGGTGGTGAGCAAGTCCACACCGGGCTTAAAGTCAAGGCGAGACAGATTACTTAACAATCACTTTCAATAAAGCATAATACAGACTCTGACAGGGGAGACACAGAACACAGGTGCCAGGGGCCTCCAGCCCAGTTTGGGGTGCAGAGAGGGGAAAGAAGCTTTCCCAGTGTAGGAGTGTGCTGGGGGAGTTAATGGGCAAGGGAGGGGATGGCAGGGAGAAAACTCCAGGCAGAAGGAACACCCAGCATGCCAGAACAAGGTGTGTTTTGCCTGAGGATCTGCAAAGGCTGAAGTGCAGCTGTAGAAGGAAGAGGTGAAGCTGGAGAAACAGAGCAAAGAGCTTGGGGGAGCCTGTGAAGCACCCGGGAGCCCAACCAAAAGCCTCAAGAGGGGGAGGGATTTATTCTTTTGGGAGACCACTGTGGGAGATGTAAAAAGATTAGAGTTGTCCAGGCCCTACTCCAAAGCAGCAAAATCTGAATCTCTGGGGGGTAGAGCCTGGGCATCAGCATTTTTAAGGAGCTCCCCTAGGTGACTCATGTCTAGGGGAATAGCTGGGTTTGTAAGTTCTATCAGTCTTGGGCCCGTGCCCTCCTTGCTGCTGGCAGGTGCATAAAAGACCCAGGTCAGTCAGTTTCTGCCCCTTGGGATTAAAGTCAAGGCAAGACATATAACCTAACAGTTACTTTCAATAAAACAGTGATTGCAAGTGACTCGAGCTGGACCAATCAGAACCTTTCTTGAGATTGTTGCTACAGAAGAAGCTTCAGTTCTTATCCGATTCCAACAGCAATCTTGTGGGAGGGTGAGTGTTTATGAGTGTTAGTAGTTGAGGCGGCATTTGAGGACCTGACATACTGTGTGTGTGTGTGTGTGTGTGTGGCGGCATTTGAGGACCTGACATACTGTGTGTGTGTGTGTGTGTGTGTGTGTGTGTGTGTGTGTGTGCGCGCGCGCGCTGCCCTGTCGCCCAGGAGGCTGGAGCGCAATGGTACCATCTCGGCTCACTGCAACCTCCGCCTCCTGGGTTCAAGCAATTCTTGTGTCTCAGCCTCCCGAGCAGCTGGGATTACAGGCATGTGCTACCACACCCAGCCAAATTTTGTCTCTTTTAGAGACAGGGTTTCACCATGTTAGCCAGGCTGGCCTCAAACTCCTGGGCTCAAGTAATCTGCCTGTCTCTGCCTCACAAAGTGCTGGGATTCTAGATAGGAGCCGCTGCGCCCAGCTGACATTTTGTTTTTACTTAAGTTGTATTTTATCAGGTGAGCTTTTTGGGGAGTGATGAAGATTTTATTTAGGCTAACCCTCCCCAAGCCACTCTTCAGCACGTGACTCCCTTGCAGCTCTTTCCTGAGCTCTTGTGAACTACTCTAGTACCTCTTCCAGCTACGGAAGCTGAGAAAAATTCCTTATTTTGCTGAAACTAGTTTGATCTAGATTTCTCTCACTAACAGATCCCTGTCTAATATGGAGGAAATGACCCAACACTGGTCCCAGGTATTGTTGCCAACCTCTCAAGCATAGGGATATGTTACTAACGGCTCTTAATCCACCATTCACTTACTGACCAAAAATTTGACATTTCTTGAGTAACCAACCGACCATTCCCCCATGTCCTAAAAAATGTTTGTCCAGACCATGTCTTGAGGAACTGAGTTGCTTCAATTTACAGCTCAGAGTATGGGAACAGATCCTTATTTTTAATTTATCCCTCAAATTCCTCTTTCAAATTTTAACGGCCACCCTGGGGTCTGGTCATCTCAGATTTGATGAATCAGTACTTGTTCTCTCTCTCCATAACCTTCAAGGTTTTATAGACTTTGATCATATCACCTTTCTGGCTTCATCTTTCCACACTAAAACTCTTAAGGTACAAAGCAGCCCGGCCTCTTACGAAGAACTTCAGGTGATGACATTGCTCACCTTCTGCAGTTCTGAGATATTTTTCTCAAGGGGAAGAGAACACAAACTGCCAGGTTTGGGTAGAGCCCAGGTAGAATACTATTTTTCGCTTGTTTTCCAATATCATTTCTGATAGTATTTTAGCATTTTCTGAACACTTGGTCCTGAGTGGCCTGTAGCAAACAAACATTTTGCAAAGACCCCAAGGATCCTCTTCTGTGGCTATAAACAGACTGGACAAAGTCCATTTTCTTGTAATTTGGATTATGTTCTCATAAATGCATTAACAGACTTGCGCCTGCAAAAGCTTAATATGCATGTTCTTGCTAACTCCTAAGCTCATCCTGCAGTTAATCACCATTTGTTTGCCATCTCTGCATAGCCTTCATTTCATCCCAAAGCCTGGAACCATCTGAGCTTTGTCTCCTTCAGATAATCCATGTAAATTTAAACTAAGTCTGGAGTACCCGCGATCCTGGGGGATCCTCACTGTTAATAATTCTTCATCCAGAAAAGTACCTGTTTATCCTATTTTTTATTTCTTGTCTCTAAGGATAATTTTGATCCATGGCAATTTCCCCGCACATGCTGGAGAGACTTACTATTGTAAATGACCTTTGGGGTGGAACTTTGTCAGAAGGAATTTTTAAAGTCTAAACAGAATTCATCCTGGGTTTCTCCCTTGTCTCCAGGCCCGTTTCTGACTCCTTAAAGAATGTTAATAGATTGGTTGGGTTTCATGTTCTTTTTAGAAAACATATTGTGCTTCGTTCAGCTAGCTGAGACTTTATAAAGTGTGCTTCACAATAATACTTTTTAGTATATATTCTGCAAAAGTGGCTATTTAAAATGACCCTTCTGACTGGGTGCGGTGGCTCACACCTGTAATTCCAGCATTTTGGGAGGCCGAGGCAGGCGGATAACCTGATGTCAGGAGTTTGAGACCAGCCTGGCCAATGTGGTGAAACCCCCTTTTTACTAAAAATACAATAATTAGCCAGGCATGGTGGTGGGCACCTGTAACCCCAGCTACTTCAGAAGCTGAGGCAGGAGAATCACTTGAACCCAGGAGGCGGAGGTTGCAGTGAGCAGAGATCCTGCAACTGTACTCCAGCCTGGGCAACAGAGTGAGACTGTTGCAAAAATAAATAAAAAATATAAAGAAAGAAAGAAAGACCCTTCTCAGGTAGGGTGGACTCCCCTTGTGGGCAGGAGGCACAGTGTGCATGCCTGTGGATACAGGCGTCACATGGAAGGACCGCTGCGCATTTTGGCTACAAGGATGTTGCTGCCATCTTCATTATCTGAGGCT